TCAGAAACTGCCTCCAAGCGCACTACTACACCCACCGGCGAGATTGACACCAAGGCTTAGATCAGACTTGATCTGACGGCTGTTCTTTCTTTAATATTAATATGAGGCAACTGCCTTCCTTCCCTTCTTTCTTCCCTTCTTTCCTTTCACGTTAATACTTCTTTTTTTCGGCGATGGCAGAGTGTCTTCAATATCTATTACCGAACTATAGATATTTGGGATACTCTCCGGAGACCAACTTTCACTTTGATAGCATTCAGATACCCAAATATCAAATTCCATTCAACCATTCCGGGCAGCAAATCAAGTTAATAGAGTAGGCAAAGCGTGACAATGTCCATAGTAGTGCATGAGTAATATTTGAGACAACCCCAGACAAAGAAGTAACCGTGAGTGGCATGCCATTGAATATGAGAATCCTATACTTTAGCCAATGATGTACTCTTACGTCGTATACTCCGCATGTTGTAGAGAGCTAGAACGCGGGATCCACCCATGTGCACCTGCCGGAGCGCCGCGCCGAGAAACACGGCGACCGGCGACCGTGTACTGAATGCGGGCAATCATCGCAAACCCTCCACGCTCCTCGCAACCCTCTGGGCACATTTTCTCTTCCTTTTATTCATCTCTCCCATCTTCCGAATAGTTTGCCCATCGATTGTTTCATCAAAATGTCCTTTCCGACCGACGTGGCGGAGTTTGATAGTGACCCGCGCATCTCGTTCTCGAGACCGGACAACAGCTTCCTACTTGAGACCAAGGATGGTCGCGAGTTCTTGTTCAATACCATCCTGAAGAGATGGGTCGAATCGGTATGTCATACACGTATTGGCACGCTGGCGCTTTGCGCTGGGCTGTTCGCCGACAATCCCCGCTAACCTGGCTTGCGACTCTAGATCGACGAGAAGCTCATCCGCCAGCAGCAAGGATACGGTCCCGAAGACCCCGAGAGTGAGATCGTTCATCCCCGCGATCGTAAGAAGCGAAAGCAGTCGCAGGAGCCGGTAAGTGTTCTGGTCATTTATGCCAACTTGGTCGCATTGAAACTGACTTCTTTCGTCTGCTAGACCGATGAGCCCAAGGTCAAGAAACCTCGCGTCAACACCGCTGTGTGGGTTACAAATATCCCCACCGACGCTACCTTCTCCGAGATTCACGAGTCGTTCAAGAAATATGGCATCCTTGCGGAGGAACTTGACACTGGAAAGCCGCGCATTGTAATGTACAACGACGAAAACGGCAATTTCAATGGCGAGGCTTTGGTCGTGTACTTCCGGCCCGAGTCAGTCACCCTCGCGATTCAGCTGCTCGACGAGACGGACTTCCGACTGGGTGTCCCCAACCCATGTGGACTGATGCGCGTCCAGGAGGCCGACTTTTCGTACAAGCGTGAACAGGAAGCGGAGCCCAAGGTTCTGACTACCAAAGAGAAAAAGAAGCTGAAGGAGCGAGCAGATCGGTTGAATAAGTATGTTTGTTGAGCATGGCAGTAGAGTGTTTCATACTGACTCGACTGTGATAGGAAACTTTCCGACTGGGGTGATGATGAGGCTGAGCTTGCCGCCAAAGCCAGACAGGCTGCCGAGGAGGCGCGCAAACATGTGGTTTTGAAGCATATGTTCACACTGGAGGAGCTTGAGGTTTGACACACCTCTTCCAAAGTTGCCTTGCGCGAATATGGAACCCAGCTGACCTGTAATTATAGGAGGATCCACTCGCCACTATTGAGATCCACGAGGACATTACCAGCGAATGCGCTAAGATTGGACCGGTGCTCAAGGTCATGGTCTGGGACGGGGAGGCTGATGGTGTTGCGACCGTCCGATTTGTGTCCGCAGCCGACGCTCGTCGCTGTGCCCAGGTAGGAATCTCAGTTCGAATCAATGTGATTGCAAATACTGACCATCTTCTAGAGCATGGACGGGCGTATCTTCTCAAAGAGAACTATTGTTGCTTACATCTGGAATGGCGAGGAGAAGTTCAAGAAGCACCGTCCCCGACGCGACAAAAAACCCGAGGATTCAGACGATGAGAATGAGCGCCTTGAGCGGTACGGAGATTGGCTCGAAAGCGGTGGAAACAAGACAAGCAAGAACCAGGAAACCGAAAATGAGAAGGCCGACAAGGACGAGACCGACAAGAGCCAGGAGACCAATAACGAGAAGGCTGACAAGAACGAGGCTGACAAGAGCCTGGAAACTGGTAATGAGAAGGTCGACCTGGATGAGACCGACAAGAGCCAGGAAATCGACAAGAACTAGCTCAACCGAACAGAAAACAGCGCAAGCAATTCCACCGAAGGAGCCCAGAACGGTGGGAACTCTGTACCAACTGAGCTAATTTCAAACAACGAGTGCTACTGAGGGGCAAGCGAATACTTCCAAGTGAAAGGAAAGCCACGCCCAACTGAACGATATCCAAACGACGAGAGCTACTGAGAGGCGCGCGAGTACTTCCACGTGGAGGGAAAGCGGCGCCCATTGAACGAATACCCAACATGTATCATATTTTTCCCAATTGAAACCATTGAAATATTATTGTACTATCTTATGTAGTTGTAGTTGTAGTGAAGTTAGTGTATATAGACATAGCAACCGAAATAGGAAGTACAAGATCACGCGCCAAAGAAACGCAAATATGGTTCGCACCTCCCCGAGTCCCGTGATGCGGCTATACCCAATCGGGCCCCCTCCCCCTGAAGTTCAGTTGTTGACTTGTTGATCCCACACACACCGCTCAACTGGCCCTCTTGCTTTCTCTTCTTCCCCATCCTCTCTGACTTGTCACCGGTCATCCTTTTTATTTCCATCTCTTTTCTAATACCTTCAAAATGCGTGAGATTGTATGTTATCCCCATCCAGACGCGTCTTTGTTTTCATATGGCCCCTGAGCCACGACCCCACTCTGAACAGATCTTTGCTAACATGCTCTAGGTTCACCTCCAAACCGGCCAATGTGTAAGTTCGACATGGAACATTCCTAGAAACATTCTTCGGCTCGTGGGACTAAACTGGAATTGGGTTATAGGGTAACCAAATTGGTGCCGCTTTCTGGTAAGTGCCGAGCCTTTTTTTCGCGTTGGGTACCAATTGACAAATTACTAACTACATTACAGGCAAACCATTTCTGGAGAGCACGGTCTCGATGGCGATGGACAGTAAGTCTAAAGATGATGGGCTTTCCGGTGGTTCACATGTCTAATATCTTGCTAGGTACAATGGAACCTCCGACCTCCAGCTCGAGCGTATGAACGTCTACTTCAACCATGTGAGTACCGCGACTGGGCATTGATTAAGCGTGCACCATCTGATCGGATTTTTTTTTCTTAATCTAGGCCAGCGGTGACAAGTACGTTCCCCGTGCCGTTCTGGTCGATTTGGAGCCCGGTACCATGGACGCCGTCCGCTCTGGTCCTTTCGGCAAGCTTTTCCGCCCCGATAACTTCGTCTTCGGTCAGTCTGGTGCTGGTAACAACTGGGCCAAGGGTCACTACACCGAGGGTGCCGAGCTTGTTGACCAGGTTCTTGATGTCGTCCGTCGCGAGGCCGAGGGTTGCGACTGCCTCCAAGGTTTCCAGATCACCCACTCTCTCGGTGGTGGTACCGGTGCCGGTATGGGTACACTCCTGATCTCCAAGATCCGTGAGGAGTTCCCCGACCGTATGATGGCCACTTTCTCCGTCGTCCCCTCCCCCAAGGTCTCCGACACCGTTGTTGAGCCTTACAACGCCACCCTGTCCGTTCACCAGCTTGTTGAGCACTCTGATGAGACTTTCTGTATCGATAACGAGGTATGAAGTGCGTCGGAAATGCTGACATGAAGAATACTGACAATTCTAGGCTCTCTACGATATCTGCATGCGTACCCTCAAGCTCTCCCAGCCTTCTTACGGTGACCTTAACCACCTTGTCTCTGCCGTCATGTCCGGCGTGACCACCTCCCTCCGTTTCCCCGGTCAGCTCAACTCCGATCTCCGCAAGCTCGCCGTCAACATGGTTCCCTTCCCTCGTCTGCACTTCTTCATGGTCGGCTTCGCTCCCCTGACCAGCCGTGGCGGCCAGTCTTACCGCCAGGTCAGCGTCCCCGAGTTGACCCAGCAGATGTTCGACCCCAAGAACATGATGGCTGCTTCCGACTTCCGTAACGGCCGTTACCTCACTTGCTCAGCTTTGTTCCGCGGTAAGATCTCCATGAAGGAGGTTGAGGATCAGATGCGCAACATCCAGAGCAAGAACCAGAGCTACTTCGTTGAGTGGATCCCCAACAACGTCCAGACCGCTCTGTGCTCCGTTCCCCCCCGTGGCCTCAAGATGTCTTCCACCTTTGTCGGTAACTCTACCTCCATCCAGGAGCTCTTCAAGCGTGTCGGCGACCAGTTCACTGCCATGTTCCGTCGCAAGGCTTTCTTGCATTGGTACACTGGTGAGGGTATGGACGAGATGGAGTTCACTGAGGCTGAGAGCAACATGAACGATCTTGTCTCCGAGTACCAGCAGTACCAGGAGGCCTCCGTCTCCGAAGGCGAGGAGGAGTAGTAAGGATTCCCCACATCATCCGGCTTTCGAACATAACGACTAACGAATTTCCCCCTATTTTTAGCCTCGCTGAGGACATTGTTGACGAGGAGGTTTAAATAAATCTCCTTTGAGATTTGTTCAAAGTAATACCCTTGTGAAGCCTACATTCTCTACCATTCGGACCGGCTTTGTGGGCGTAAGCCGCGAACCCAATTTGTTTGAGCGCTCCTAATTTACACCCTTTTTTGTCTATTTTCCTACTTGGCTTGGGTGATTTGTTCGACCCCTCCAGAATAGCACATAGTGGAAATGACTTTCAATAGCTTTTTTAATCATGTTAATTGTAGTGAAGGATTGGTGCGGCAGAAGTTCATATGGGCCAGTATACTAGAGTTCATAACTTCAAAGACTATGTCGTGGCAATCTCACATAAAAATGACGCTAAGTACACCTCGTCACAACCGATCCCTGCCTTTCTACAGTTCAATGGAAGGGACATTTCCCAGTCCGATACTCCTTGAACTCCACCAGAGTCTCCTCTAACTGCTTCCTCCCCTTCCCCTCGAAATACTTCGGTCCAATATCCGCAACACTATATCCAGTGGGATAATACTTATCCCCCTCGTCACCTGGCACAGCCCGCCCTATAGCCCGCGTCAGCAATGCCATCGGGCCCCAGCGGTTCCAGAATGTGGGCTTGACATAGTACGGCGCAGCCTCCCACTCGGTAAGGAAGAAGCGGTCGTTCTCATCCGGCTCCTCAGTGGACGAAGCGAAGCGCATGAAGTACGGTCGTGGCAGAGAGAGGTAGCGGAGGAATAGCCTGCGGGCTGTGAAGATGGTTGAGAGAAGTGCTGTGCAGAATGCGGAGGGGGGTTCGTAGCTGTTTAGTCAGTAGTTAGAGGTTAGTTGCGACCTGAACATGCAAACCAAAACCAAGAAAGAAAGAAACTTACAACATCGCCTTCCTAAGCCTATCGTCCATCATAAACGAAACAGCCTGCAACCCAGCCGGATGAAAGACCTTAGGTAGCATATAAAGCAGGACAGCAGTAGTCTGATCCGCCGTCTCACGATTCTTAATATCAGGCACCATGCATCTCACCTCATACTCATCAGCCCAAGCAGTCAACTCCTCGAGCCACTGAATCCCATCCTGGAACCCGACTTTACCAGACGGCAGTTTCTCATAGCTAATATCCAGCGCATCACCGGCACTCTTCCAGAATGTCCCGATAGCGCATCGCTCCAGGTCACTCAGCTTACGCCACTCATAGCGATCGATGAAGCGAATCGGCTGCAGCGCGAACAGCGCCAGCGTAAAGAGCATATCGTCATCGAGGATCTTACCAGAGGCCCTGTACCCGCTGTGCAGGTAGCGCGTCCGGGCAAGACCGAGACATGCGCGCATGGAAGTCGGGTTGTTGCCGACCCATTCTTGCACGAGGAGGCTGGTATCTGTGTACCGCTTCAGGGAGGTATCCGGGTTGGAGAATTGGGTTGTTTTTGCGAGGAGGCGGGATATTGAGGGGATTCCGTATGTCTTTTTTATAGTTAGAAAATGCATGTGTGGATCGGTAGATCATGACCCGGATTGTGAGTGTTTGCCCATGTGGGTGGGTTGGTAACTGGTCTTGTTTCATACCCGGAATAACGCGAATTGTAAGCTCTTGATGAATATGAATGGGAATTCGAGCTGCGCGACTTGTTTTTGGATCTGGAAGGCTTCTTCGTCGGTCATTTTGGACATTGACTCCCGTGTTGGATAGGCATATTGTTTGTGGAGCTTGCGCAGGCGTTGGAATCGGAGGCTTGTTGTTACTACCGGCCAGGCGATGAGGAGGCCTACGGCGTAGGGGAGTAGTTGGGTTGTCATACCCCCTGCTTGTAGTGAAGCCAGGGCATCGGTGTAATTCATATTGACGTGCTGGTTTGGGGATGGCACCACGACAGGGTTTTCCACGAGGTTCAAATAAGAAAGTGGTGGTGACGAGATCCACGGCACTGGCCCATTTACGTTCCCCACAAGGTTTATGTACTATTTTCTTATCATCGTACCCCGCGTATGTCAGCACAACATATATAACTAACTAGAGAAGCATGTAGTAAATATATGTATTTACTTTCTAATGTAGAGATTGTAATTGGGCAGTTTCAAACGTGGGGCCGAACACATTCCTGCGTTATCTAACAGGTGCTTAAGCCACAGTAACTATATATACATCGCACATGTATGTCACGGGTCGGAAGCACTTTGACGACGATCAGAAGCTTAAGGTCAATATAACTTTGCTTTGCATCATTTAAAACTTTATTGAAGTTCACATCAGGTCTTTACAGTTCCCATGTTATCGCTATATACTCTCTGGTTTATGTTGGGAGGATATACAATGCTCTGCCCCCACACTTTCTGGCAGATCATTATGCCAACACATGAAAAGAGTGACACACACTAGCGACCAATCAATTTGAGCTCGAAAGCCCGCAACGGTGGGAAAAACAGCATAGTGAAGCCCGCACCCAACCAGAGACCCAGATCAGCTCCGCCAGCCATCTGCGCGATGGGGCCGATATAATACGCCTGAGACTAAACTGACGTATTAGCAAGACGCAGTTAACTGGATTGGGAGTATAAAGTCTTACCATGCCGACAATTGCACCAGCCCAACCGATAAGGAAAGCAACTCCTGCTGCAATCCCCAACGGCAATTTATCGCGACAGTTCCACTGAGACCAGTCATAGCCTCTATTTCGACGGAAAATCATGTGTTCCTCGAAGACAATCACAACGAACATCATGACCCAGTATCCAATCAGAGGCAGGAAAGACTTGAACACCTCGTACAGCTGGTCCCGGCCTCCCATCGCACATGCAGCATAGATAACCGTAGCGAGAGTCGTCCAGACCGGTCGGTGAACCTTTCCAAATATCCCGCCAATCATCTGGAGGTTCATTCCCATCGAGTACGCCCCGGGAGTGTTATTAGCAACCAAGGCGAGGACATTGATAACAGCACAGAATTTCCCGAACCCCCCGAGACCGTCGTATGCTGTCATCAGCACGCCTCCGGGACTGCTGCCGTACTTGGCCGCAAGATGTGCCGAGCTGGCGATAACGGTTCCGAGTCCGATGCCCATGAGGAAAACAATCGACATGGCACTAGTGGCGGCGAAGACTGTGGCTAGGAATATCCGGGAGCTCTTCATCTGCGGCGGGAGATAGACATAGTAATCGGCGGCGAGCGGGGCCCAGGCGAGAGGAATGGACAAGGCCAGGGAGAAGAAGGTAAGTCTTTTGGCCATTAGTTGCTCTGTCGACATTGGTGTCTGGATGTTGAAGTCGAAATTTGGCCCTGCTGAGCCCACCATCACGCATATCACCAGCAGCTGTGGCAACCAGGCAACTCTGGTATTAATTAGAATATGCATTGAAGATATCCTGGGCTGCCAACACTTACCGCTCATATAATTGGAAGATTTTCATCCCAAACAGAGCCATAACCCAGCTGGAAACGGCGATGATGATAATGCCCACTATCACGGAAAGATGCCCACCAGAGACCACGGACAAAATCTGGCCACCGACGACGCTGTTTACCATACTGTACCCGATATTGGTGAAGAGGTTTAGGATAATGCAAACTTTGCTGGGGTAATAACCCATGAAATATCGGGCCACGATCTATCAAGTGCATGAGCATCCGTTCTTATAAAGTACCTTCTTTCCCTTGTGTCGTGAATCACCGATATTTCAATACGTACCAAAGTCCTGTTTCCGCTCTTCGGTCCCCATATACTTATAAAGCCAACCGTGAAATTGCCGGCTAAACATCCAAATACAGCACAGAGGGCCGCATCCCTGTAGCTGAGGCCTAAGACGAGCGTACCCATTGATCCAACAATGATATTATTTGTAGCCAATGTCATGCTAAACCACATTAACAGCATATGAAGTATGGTTGAAGGCGTTATTGGCTCTCGTTTGTTGATAGGAACGGGCTCGATTCCGCTGCTCTCCACATTTTTCAAGCTTGCAATCCATCGTTGCCATCTTGATTGCGGCACGAGGTCAGGCTTTTCGACGGAGTCATTAGAGAAGCTATTCGAGGCGGTTTTGTCGAGGTAAGACTGGCTCGGACACTCGAGAGTACTCGAGCTGTCGGCTTTTTCGATATCTTCGAGCTTCATTATCGGATATCTCGATGTGTAAGTGGCTTGTAAGGATTAAGCTGTTCGTAAACAAAAGCCTTCGATTCAAATCCACCACTAGACAGATAAATGCCAAAGAGTCTGGCGTATAGATAGGATGTCGTAGATCCACAGCTGTACAACGGTCATAAAATAGGAGGGAAATCGGTAGTTCGTATGAAATATGACGGAGGGGGGAGAGCTATGGAATGATAGATATAAGGGGAAAAATATCCAGCCAGTGCACCATCGTAAGGCCGTTAAACACTGACATCACCCTGTCTACCTAGTGAAACGGTGTAACGACCCGAGGGGGAATTAAATACATAAGCATTCCTTAGCAATCAAGGTACCAACCGAGCAGCTTGCATAAGTGTCCAATGATGAGCACTAGATTTGCATTACCGCAATACAGTCGGGAAGGAACACGCCCAGCAGATTGTAGATCATCTATCGCCTTGTAGAGAGAAAAGAACTACCCAGCTTTATCCCAAAGTGGAAGGGGCTTCATCGTGCTGTGCAATATTGACCATCCACAAGGACACCCACCAACACACATATTCGGTGGATTGGTAACCATCTCATGATACCATCAAGGGAAGGGATAGGCGCATGACAGCCACACGATGAAATAAAAGTCCCGCCGGCCCCTGTGATCCGCGATACATTTCCTGTATGGGGTAAGTGGCATGCTGGAAAGCTCCGAATATGCATGCTCTGGAATGCTGTTGATGCAAGGAATATCTATTAGCTCATGATTCTATACAATGCTCAGATTTCAGGAGGCGGGTCCGAAATAGAGGAGGAGGATGATCAGCCCAAAGCTCCGTTGAGCAAGTTCCGCGAGAAATGTAGCTTGTGATTGATGCAGGACGAATACTTCCCCGGGGATCTCGACGATTTGCTCTAGCCCTAGGAGAAAAAGGTCCGAGGGAAGGGGTACTTTTAGATAGCTCTGATTAGTTAATGTTTACTCCTATTAAGTCACTCATAACTTGACTTCATTACTATATATAGAGAGTTCCTGCGGCTATTCGGTTGTCCTCGGTATCTCTCATAGCCCATATGAGCACAAGTTGAAGTTGATACATTCTACAGAGGCTACCATGAAGGCGTGAATGGTGTTACACATCCCGCCATCTCTCACGGTCTTCTGTATTCACCTCAGAAGACTTGTACGAATGGGATCCCGAACTATGTGATATTACGTAGCCTGAGTCTTTAGCTCAGGTCATTTCCTACAAGTCCAGCTAAGCTTTCCTCCTGTCTCTTCTGACCCACAAGCCGGAATCCGTGATACGGATCCGCGAAGGCGAATTCTCCTAGCTTGCCAGGCGTTGGCGTACTGCGTGAGAGAAATGCTGATTCGTCAAAAAGGGCTTGACTTTCCGTAAGATTAGATTCCACTGCTAACATGGCGCGTTACACCCGGTATACAAGTGCTATAATATATCTAGTATCTGTCTGCTAGAGGCTTTCTAATTCGAGCTGCTAATATGAGGATGCCTAGATTCGGGGTTTCTAAGCAATTTTAAGAGCTAAGGCTTATAGTTAGCTACTTTTCTGGTTTGAATACTATTATCTAGATATTCTGGCTTTGTTCGTACACTAGGAATGAATATATATCGTCTGTCAATAGGAAACTCGATTATTATATGTCGCTTCTTTATTGTGGCCAAGAGCGAGATTGGTGTAAGACGAAAATATACCTTGAGGACATAAAGTATTCGATTTAAAGATCCAAAATTTTCAAAGGAAGCACAAGAAGGGAAATGAGAGCAGTTGATCTAGTCTTTCTGTCGGGAAAGAACAGTCAAGACACTGAGAGCCTTGAATTTACGCTGTCTCTCTGTTTCTCTTCTCGATCTACCAATATGCTCCATCAAACGTGTCTCATCTCATTTGGTTTTCTTCACTTGATCTTCCTTTCACCTACACAATACCCTTGTCCATACTGAACTTACAATGGCATCTGCCGATCCACCGTCCATATTTCAACCCAGAATACGCGATGGCATCGTTGTGTGGATTGGTTGTTGAGAGGATCAGCTAGGAGCATGACTTGGTTGTGAGTCTCAAGGGCTAGACGATTATTTTAAGGGTACCTAGATTATTGTGTCATAGTATCACTGGGGCCTTTGATGAATGGTTTTCTTGTCCATTCTGATCAAGATAGCCAGCTGTTTAAATTGTTCGGGTTCGGATTCGGGTGCGGTATAAAAACCTGGGAGAATATGCGTGCAATTTGTGCCTCGGGAATATCTTCCGTTTATGAACTAGTGTATTACAGGGTATACGACTACTGTGGAGAGTGGTCGATCTTTTTCTAGTCCTGATCCACTGAAACCCTGCATCACCCCGCGAAATCTTGGATAAATTAAAGAGGAGAGGCACTCGAGGTAGGTAATAGGTCAGATTTTTCAGTTCCGGAGCCTTATATCTGCTACACTGAATGATATCACAACAGCTCAGTGAGTATACGACGGTAAGTGTGTCGACAGGTGGACTGACCTATACACCTCGGGAGTCACCGACCCGATACCCCTGGAGTGGAGATATGCGGAGCAGCAAGCTTCTGATAGAACAAGTTAGAATAGACCTCCTTGCAGAATCCGAGAACCATTCGTATTCGTGGAAAGTTGAGACCAACCCAGCTTCCCCACAGGTCTGTGGAGAGAAGCGGCATAGCATTTAGCCCAATGCCAATCCCCGAGGTTGCCCCGGTTCTAAGGCCGCTTGTCGCTGCTATAGATAAAAAGATTCCATTCCTTCTGTCTGGGGTTCTATTATATCTCCCTTGACATAGTTGAGAGAGTGCAGACATCATGCGGTATTCTCTATGGGCCTCTACGCTTGTGCTGGCTTCGGCTGCCGCCACAACAACTTCACTGAGTGATATATGTACAAGTGCATATGCGAAGAAGGCGTTGCCAGTGGATCAACTCCAGGGAGTTACCGTTGATCCCTCTTCCATTTCCACGAGTCTCGTCACCAACTTCACTGCCAGCAGTATATTCTACCCTACCACGACCTTCGATTACTGTAATGTGACTTTCGCCTACTCCCATGACGGCATTGAAGGGGATATTGTTCATGTGCAATACTGGCTTCCAGCTCCAGCACAGTTCAAAAACAGATATGTGTCTACAGGTGGAGGTGGTTGGTATATTAACTCGGGCACTCAATCGATCCCTACTGGAGTTATCGTTGGCGGGTACGTATTTACTCGTATCAATTTGGTGGCATGAATGTCTGACTGACAGATTACATAAAGTGTTGGCGGATTGACCGATGGAGGATCAGGAAACTTCGATGCCGCATTTAGTTCCGTTGCTCTCTTGGCAAATGGAACTATCAATTGGCAAGCGACGTACATGTTTGGTAATACCTTCATACTTCCGAAACTCACAGCTTACGGGTCAGCTAACATAAGAAACAGGCTACCAAGCCCAGCACGAGCTCGCTGTATTGGGCAAAGCGCTCACGCGAAATATTTACAACGTACCGTCCAGCGAGAAGATTTACTCCTACTATCAGGGTTGTTCCGAGGGAGGCCGTGGCGGATGGAGCCAGGTCCAACGGTTCCCCGAGCAGTTCGACGGCGTAGTCGCCGGTGCCCCAGCCTTCCGCTGGGCACAGCAGCAAACCAATCATTTGACGGGCAACGTCATCGAGAAAACTCTTGACTACTACCCGCCCAGCTGTGAGCTCGAGAAGATCATGAACATGACTGTCGCAAGCTGCGATCCCCTGGACGGCAAGACGGACGGTATTGTATCGCGCTCCGACTTGTGTTTGAAGAATCTAAGCTGGGATTCCATCCTGGGCGCTTCTTACTCGTGCGATGCTGTCACCGGCTCTGCCTACGTGAGCGCCACACCTGCGCAGACAGGCAATGTATCTGCCAAAGCCATCGAGGTCGTCAAGGCCTTTTGGAAGGGTCTTCACGACTCCGACGGCAAGCGGGTTTACTTCAACTACCAGCCTGGTTCGACTTTCGACGATCTTGTGAGCGCATATGATTCTACCACCGACAGCTGGAATCTCGATATAAGCAGTCTCGGCGGGACGTGGGTTGGCTTATTTATCGATCTTTTGCAGGAGTCCAACATTCCCAGCTTGGATGGCGTGACCTACGATACCCTCAAGGAATGGATAGTCCTTTCCCAAAAGAAGTACGGGGATATACTCCAGACAACATACCCAGACTTATCGGACTTCCAAGCCGCCGGTGGAAAAGTCATCCACGTCCACGGAGAGCAAGACTACTCGATTCCGACCGCTTCTTCAGTCCGTTACTGGAACTCGGTTAGGGAAGTTATGTTCCCCAACAAGTCATACAAGGAAGGTGCCGCCGCTGTCGATGACTTCTACCGACTGTTCCTCATTCCCGGCGTGGGACACTGTGCCACCAACGATTACCAATCCGGTGCGCCATGGCCACAGACAACTCTGCAGACTCTTATTGGATGGGTTGAGAATGGCACGGCGCCAGCGACACTCGCTGGATCTGGTGAGATTGAAACAATGTGTCGTTGGCCTCTTCGCCCGCTTTGGACTTCAAATGGCAAGAAGTTCCAATGTGTGTATGACCAGGAATCGATTGATAGCTTTAGTTATGATTTGGATGCGTACAAGCTTCCTGTGTACTAAGAAGTACCTTGTCAAGTGAAGCTTGATTCTATTTGATGAGATCACTGCCAGCTCTTTCAATCAACAGCTGAACTTCAACCTGTTCTATTCAATCTTTTCTGTGTATTTTTATTTATCCCCATGCCCTACCTCCTTAACCTCATATTTGAGTATTAACCTCATATTTGAGTACTCCGTACTAGTGCAAGTGATATACATACTCCACCATGGTTGGCCAATAATTGAAGACCCGCATTTCGCGCAATGTGGGGTTCGAACACCCGACATGACTGGCTGATACTGCACGTGACTTCCGAATAGCGTAGGACCAATTATACGCTATCAAAAAGACCCACACCCGTATAACCTCAACAAGGACCTGTAAAAGAAAAAAAAAATAGGTAGCTTCTCTTTGATTGAGCGTGTCATCCTTAGTGCAGGGGCCATGCTAATCTTCTCTGTATATTTTCATTTGACCATATGCCCCGAAGGGCGAAGGGACATCCTTATAGTTCAATATAACCTGCATTCTGGGCATAATTATACCGCCTACGGGGTTGGAATTGGGCAAACTTGAGGAAGGCAGGTTTGTATGTTAACAAGTGAGGAAGGAGTGACAATACGTTCAGGAAAGCCTAATAAAAGTGAGACTAAACTACAAACTAGTAAGAGAATATGAAGATCAATATACTAAGAAAGAAATAGAGGGAAAAAACATGGTATCTTCAGATCTTTGAGCATTTTACAATCAAGTATAGTAAACGAAAAAGAAAAGGAAAATGCTAGATGGCACCGGAGCCTTTGCGTGCGCCGAGATATCCAAAACGAGAAAGGCCAGCCTGGCCGCCAAACCCAAATGCAAATGATTGTATGAAGCCCAAAAGTACAAAAGTAGTCTATGCTTAATTTTCAACAGCGTTACGCCGAATCACCCATTTCCAGACACCGAAAATAGAGCAGCAGAGTTGAGACGAGGGAATATAGGGGCATAATGAATTAAACATGTCCCCGTCGATCGGGGAGGAGAGAAAGGAGTAGAATATAAGAAAGGCGAGATGGAGATGAACTCAGACGTGCGACTGACTGAGACTCGATCTCGATCTCGAGCGCTGAGACAAGGACCGACGGCCACGGCTGGAGGGCGCGCGGTCCGGCGGAGCATGCTCGAAGAACGGAATCAGATCTGGGTTCTGACTCGGGGGTGTCTTGGAGTCAGGGGAGTACTCGTTCAGGATGCGATCATCGGCAGCGGTGTCTGGGTGGATCTCAATGCCTGGCTCGCGATCAAGGCCGCTGTGAGGGCCCCCGTTGGTTGGGAAAGTGACTTGTTCGGGCTCATCGTGGCCTCGCTCGATCGGAGACCATCCGGCAATACTGCCGGCAACGATACCTGCCATGGCAGCGGCGGGTCCGAATGTCGAGTTCGAGCGCGACCGTGTGTTGCGTCTGGAACGAGACTCTGGGGTGGTCGGCTGTGGGCTGCCGTTGTCGTTTTCGTGGTCATTGTCGCCATTCGGTGTGGGTGGCGTGGAGGAATCACGCGAGCGGGAGCCACTGCGGGACCGAGGAAGGAATTCCTGAGGGTGCTGTAGCTTGTGGCGGAGGTGTCGCAGACGGCCACCGCGGACGCGCTTGAGGAAGGCGAGCTGGTCGCGGATCTCTTCCAGAGCGGGGTTCCACTCGTAATTGCGATCCTCGTCTGAGATGACCAATGCGGGACCCTTGTTGCGATTCCAGAAGTGAGGAATAAGTCTCGAGATGAATTCATCCGGAATAAGACGAATGATCACAGCGATGGGTATGGAGATTGCTCCGAGCACAAGACTCACGGCCCACTGCGAGCCTTCGTTAAGACGCTTGACGGAGAAAGCAGCGCCACCAAAGAAGATGATCAAGATTTGACCCCCAATAATGATGATCTGAATACCAATGAACCAACGGTTTCTCAAAATACCTTCCAAAATGTTGAGCTTGTTGTCAATACGACGGGAGTTGTACTGGTTGAAAATCTGCATAAACACGAAAGTGTTGAAGACCACGGTCTGCAAATGGCCGCTATCCCAAGAGAAAATCTTATCTCCGGCGAAATTCAGAACGAAAGTTACAACCAGCTGGTAGATGGACTGTCCAATGATCATCTTCCACATTGTCAGAGTGATGAGTGGATCGGATTTCGACTCGGGTCTGCGGTCAAGCACTGTTTCTGTAGGAGGGTCTGTCGCCAAAGCGAGAGCGGCAAACGTGTCCATGATCAGATTGACCCACAGCAACTGCACTGCGCTGAGCACGGAGTCCTCATTATCACTAGCGACTGCAGAGACGAAGGTCAGAATGACGGCGGTGATGTTGACAGTGATTTGGAACTGAAGGAACTTCTTCACGGCGTCACAGACAGTGCGACCCCATGCCATAGCCTTGACAATCGATGAGAAGTTGTCATCCATGAGAATAATGTCGGAGGCCTCTTTGGCAACTTCGGTACCAGTGATACCCATTGCAAAACCAACATCGGCATTCTTGAGGGCAGGGGCGTCGTTAGTACCATCTCCAGTGACAGCAACAGTCTCTCCAAGCTTCTTGAGTTGATTGACCAGAATCTTCTTATCTTCCGGGCTAGAGCGGGCGATGACCTGGAGTCTTGGGATGATTTGGTTCATTTGACGTGTGCTCAGCTTGCGGAATTTGGGTCCCTCAATGGCGATACCGCCAGGTGTGTAGATACCACACTCCTGGGCAATAGCCTTGGCGGTCATAATGTTATCACCAGTCACCATTCTGACAAACACTCCAGCACGTTGGCAAGTATACACTGCCTCGGCAACACCGGCTCGGACAGGATCCTGAATACCGAAGATTCCCAACATTGCCATGTCCTTGAAGATAGGTTCGAAGACTGCCTGGGTATCATCGGTTTCCGAAGTAGGGGCTCCACGAGGTGGCCATTGATCGAAGTCACGGTAAACCAGCGCAATGCATCTGAGAGAACGAGTGGCGTAGGTGGTCATAATGCTGTCCAGTGCAGTCCTGTTCTCATCGGTGACAGGAGTCTCCGACAGAGTGTCAGTGGGGTCTTGGACGATACGAGTCGACTTGTGGGATAGAATTTCCGCGGCACCCTTAACTAGCATTCGGTATTTTCCATTCTCCAGCTGCGTCACGACTGCCATGCATTTGCGGCCAGAATCGAACGGGAACATCTGGACGACCTTGCCATTTGCTCTCGCTTCGCCAAGGGGCCCCAATCCAAGGTAATCCCTAGCGAAAGTCAAGAGAGCAGTCTCTGTCTTGGATCCGACGTACGTCTTGACTCCATCTGTCTCACCTTCAAATGCGGTTGAGTTGTAGACAATGGACTTGAGGAGGACATCCTTCACCGACGGTGATAGGGAAGAGACAAAATCCGAGGGAGTGATTTCACTCTGATCATCGCTCGAGACACCAGAATACTTGCCGAACCGAGACGTGGTACCCAACGTCGCAGCCACTGCAGTCATTTTATTCTCCGTCAAGGTTCCAGTTTTGTCCGAGCAAATCGTGGTAGCGTTACCCATAGTCTCGCAGGCTTTGAGGTAGCGAACCAAGTTGTTGTCTTTGAGCATTCGGGTTGTAGCAAAGGCGAGAGCGAGCGTGACGGCCAGTGGTAGGCCTTCGGGTACCGCGACGACGACAATTGTGACAGCAACAATGAAAATCTGCAGGAATGCTTGACCCTTGGCGTCCGGACCACCCGCGATGTCCTTAAGACGAACCAAAAATTTGATGAAGAGAACCACAAACAGCAACAAACCAGAAGCGAGGCCGAGCTTGGCAATGTACTCGGCCAACTTGTTGAGCTTCGTCTGCAAAGGCGTTGTTTCGCCCTCCTCTTGGAGGGACATCATCGTCCGGCCGAGGGTTGCGTGTGTACCGGTAGCAGTGACCACGAACGTGCCGACGCCCTCGGAGACCTTGGCACCAGAAATGATGAAAGGATCCATCTTCTTCAGGTCTTCGTTTTGTTCCATTGTTTTATACACTTCATCGCCGGGGGTTTTGCGGAGAACGTCAGACTCGCCAGTGGCCGAAGATTCGTCGCATTTGAGGTCGTAACCATCGATCAAGATCCCATCAACTGGGACCATATCACCGGGTTCCAAAAACATCACATCGCCAACCAAGACGTCGTGGACAGAAATTTCCTCGGTTCGGCCGGATCGTTTTACCTTGACCTGTCGATTCTCTTTCTTTTTGTTGAGTTTTGCGAACTGTTGTTCCTTTTGCCAGTCATTGGCTGCACCGACCACCACCACGATAATAATGGCCACGAGAATGGCCAAACCTTCGACCCACTCGACGCCAGGTTCGTCGGGATTTGCTGGGTGGAGCGATTGCGGAATTCCCACAGCAAGTGAAACTATAGCCGCAATGGTCAATAAGATCAACACCTTGTCGTTGTAGGCAATCCATGCCAGCTCCCAGATCGTCTTCAATTTCCTCTCTGGAAGCCTATTATCGCCGTAGATACGTCTGCGATCGACGAAATTCTCTCCGTTGTGCTGCGTTATGACGGAACCCTCGGTCGTGGGTGGCGGTGGTTTAGTCGGAGAGGCAGACTTGGGCATGTTGGTTCCCGAGGCAGGTGTGGTGGGTGTGACCACCTCGTCAAAGCTGACAGTTCCGTCCAGGTTTGTCTCATCCACACTCAAGCCACTTTTTATATCAGTCCGGAGCCCTTTTTCCAGTCCTCGCAGGCCTCCCAACGCATGGAAGGCGCCAAAGCTCTTCGGATTGAGAAGCTTGTTCAGCTGACCAGGGGAAAAGGCAAACTTGTTATCCTCGACCTCAAACTCGTCTTCGCGGCCGGGGTCTGGGGACAGGGGATCCTCATCGTGAACGCCGTTTGTGGCGGGACTTTTAGGCGAATCGGATGCGGATTCCTGAGATGATGAGGGCACATATGTGTCGCCGCCGTAGGTGCTCGATGTTTGGTTGGTCTCCTCCGACTCCAACGAGTTGCCTCTCGAGCGTGTTCCAGGGACGGA